GCGCGGGCATGACTTCAAGTACTTCGGTCAAATAATCTATCAGAAACATATATATATATACACTTCTTGCATCTAAAGAGGTACCCAGGATACAGTTAACTACGATCAGTCGTAATGTACGTCAGCTACATGTAAGGTAAGATGTGTTATTGATTTCTGCAATATTTATCATATTTTGGGGAAATAGTCCCACAATTTGACAAGCCATTCAGCTATGTCCGTTTCCACTTATACGGAACCCAGTCGAGAAATGACTATGAGAGGGGCATGAGTCGAAATTCGACTTCTCCCAGAGTTTGTCATGGAAAATTGTTTTGTCAATGGAAATGTGAAGCCCACATATCTCGCTGACACGAATCAAGCCTGACTGATTATTCTGGTGAACCATAAGTTGGACCCGATGCAAGGTCAAAGCACCTGCAGATGAACCCAGAACAAATGTACACAGATATGTCACGAGAATGAAGAGGAGTGAAACTGAAACTTGAAATGAAAAGATACATGGCATCAAGCTATGCCTTAAAAGAATGAGTAATTTGGTTTCTTTGATAAATGGAAGAGTTTCAAAGATCATGGAACTAGAAAGAAGTACTAATAACCTGTCACAGGAGTCTGACGAGATGTTGAAAGAGCAGAAGCCAACAAAAAGGGAATTATTCTACTGAAGCATCTCGACCAGCATGACACGGTAAACAGATAGAAAGACACATGCGGTTATGCTGGAATCACAGTCGAATCAAACAACAGATGGAACTGAAATGTAGGTTCATAACCAATAATGTTATCATCGGCGGAATCCGGGAGAATGACGCCAGGGTAAGGAGACAGAGTAAACAGATTCCGGAAAGAGTGCGAGAGACACTTCTCTAAGGCAAGGAAAGACCCAAGGGACCAGACCAGGAACCGTTCAATAGTAGCAGCACATTGCCTGAGAGGTAATAAATCTATCAGCCATGAAATTAAAAGGAACTCCCACAAGATTCATACAGGAATGTAAGCAGCATGAGACCACGGATTCTTTCCTACATGAAATGTAGAGGGAACAAGGACAATACACAGTACCTATTGAGAGATAGACTATACAGAAATATCCAACGTTCAGTTCCAGATACACAGGCTAGAGACATCAACAGCAACATCCGGGTGATATGAATAAGCAACGTTGTACTACATAAAACTTATCTACATAAAACTTTAAAGAGTGTGGACTTCGAATTATGTTAAATTCCAGAATCAATCACCTTCATTAGAAGTGTCTCATTAATGGCATCTGTGATCCGTGTTAGCCGAATAATACTCATTGAAGATACGTGGATATACAATACATTATAACAACAGGAAACACGTCACCAAGAGACAGTCTAATGGCCTGTCTAATCTGTGAGGGCATCAACAGCAGAGGCTCAACATTGTGAGTGAGTGAGTGAGTTGGGTTTTACGCCGCTTTTAGCAATATTCCAGCAATATCACGGCGGGGGACACCAGAAATGGGCTTCACACAATGTGCCCATGTGGGGAATCGAACCCGGGCCTTCGGCGTGACGAGCCAACGCTCAACATTGTGGATCGGTTTAATATTATGTCTTAGACCTTCCTTAAAACAGATGATATGGGATGAAAATGCTACGGACTTTGAAGCACACCATTGGTGTTTTTATGTCGTGACTGGGAATAGACTGTGAATATTGCTAAGACTAAATAACTTTGTGTGGATCAGAGAGTTACAGTACTGTAGGAAATAGATAAAAAATGTTTTAGGCGGTTACTCTGTATCACTAAAATTTACACAATTGCAAACGTCATATGTCGAAATAACCCACATCGGCCTAACTGGGCGTTCAGGGGGGTGCGTAATAGGATATCCAGAACATCATGTTTACTCGTAAAATCCGGCAAAGTTAGAAAAAATACGAATAGCTGCTGAAAACAATAGATCAGACTATAGATGGCAATTAGGTCGCCGAGACTGGTATGATGAAGCACCGTCGACTCACCTGGCATGAAATGCACGTACTGCCCACAGGCACAAGGGGTCATCACAAATATATTTTATGCCTTTTCATGTGTATTGAATATTTCTCTATTGATTGTCTTATCTTAGCTGATATCTCTATCCCCCAGCCCGACCCCAACCACCGTCCTAGTTTTGCTTTTGAGACGACCCCTCCTACGTGTTTTTTTTATACTGATAGTGAGACTCCATGGCAGCTACATCCTTAATAGTTTCAGTATTAAAGTTATTATTGTTCACGTCTGCTATCGTTTATAATGAAGATAAGTCTAATTTCAAAATGGACATTCAAAAAGTATATTTTGTAATACAATATCATTGCACACGAATGTGCATAAAGCCATGGTCTGTTCTAAATAAGTCGCATTGAACTTGAGAAAAAACCCGCACATTTCTGCACTAATCTCTCCTCAGTAAAATCCTTCTTTTACGTTTCCTATCTCCTTACCACTGACACTGTAGTTAGGCCGAACTTAGTTTAACAGATATTTCACACTTTTTCGTTTCAACTACCTGAATGAATAATATAAACCCACCGTCCCACAAACGTGATAAGATCTGAGCTGGGTATTTCATCAGCCTATGTACTGTATTTATCAAGGTCACCCTTACCTGTTTGGCTAAGAGTTTCAACTCTTCACAGTGATGTTCTAATGAATATTCAGTACGTATAGTTCTCTCAAACCCAAATCCAAATCCATTAACCGACATGCTATGCATTACAACGTCTTGTCACTTGTGTACATTTCAATGCATAATGCGATTAGTTAATAAAGAAGGCAAAGTGTATTCTTGTCTTATCTCTGTAACAGTTAAAACAGTCCAAACCAGATGGAAGCGCCCTCGCCTCATTGTGACCCGAGCTATGTCAGGACTCCACATTCCCTTTTTATCCTCCACGCCCCAGCACCGTGAGTGCAAATTGTATTCACTGGTTCGTCCTTGACTTAGACATTCACCCCAGATGACGAAAAACCAACAACATTGAACTGGTATGAAAAGCTGTTGGGACATAAAGACTGTTTTCGCATACTCAGTCCTTGTATCATAAATTGCATAGGTTAGTAATAACCAGTGCAAAAGATAAAGACAGAATGTTCAACTCTTCAGTAAGAGCATTTCCGAGTTCCCGTAGATGTGACTTGGCTGGCTGTATGCTGACACTTGTCTCCTACTTCATGTAGACATCAACGACTCTGGGACAGTGTTTGCAATACTTTAATTTGCCACTTGGCCATCAGGGCTGCTGCCGCCTGCAGGCTTTAATATCTACAGGGCCAGAATGAAATCTGCAGGCCCATTTTGTTAAAGTCAAACCAATGAAAACAAAATAGAGTACACTGTACACAGTTTCACACTGTTTCGAAGTTAGCGAAGCCCATGGCGCAGAGAGGCGTTTTTATTTGTTAAAGACTGGTGTTGACATTCCTATGCGCAAAGCGTTGAAATACCAGAAAGTGAAACAGTAAGTTATGATTCCAGAACGTTAATAAAGAAAAACCCAAACCAAAACAAACAAAGAAACAACCCCCACACACCCCCACAACAACAACAACAACAACAACAACAAAAAAGAAACCAAACAAAAAACAACAAACAAAAAAACAAGGGAAAGATTCCAGTTGAAGAAAAGGGCCTGCAAATATTTGAAACTGCCGGCCCGATACAATAACAACCGGCGCTGGGCCACCGAGCCGGCGATTATTTCGAACGCTGCTCTGGGAGGATTCTTATCATCCCTGCTAATAACAATGAGACTGTGTCTTAAGCCAGTTTCAAGAATGCCTTAGCCTGTGCGTTTTTCTTTGGCCGTTAAACGAAGTTAAGGGTTCCCGATTGCATCCAATTGAGCGGTATATTTGCATCCGCCTACATGATGTAGTGTGGAAAGCATCCCGCCTGAGTGCACGTGGTTGTTGGTTCGACCACTTGTGTAACTCAAAACAAATACGTTAAAACCGTATGTGTTGTTATCTCGCTTGGAGTTGGCAGTAAGGAATAAATCTGGGAGTGGTCGGCCTTGAGTGTTGAGTGGGCTATCCATACCAAAGTCGGCCAGTCTATCTCAGCCAACAAAAGCTCTAGAACAAACAAACAAACACAGACGCAGACAAGCACACGCACACTCACCTACACCAACCAGCACACACAAATACACGTCGATAAAAAGTGAAATAATCTTGAATATCTGTGACTCAACCCAAACGCTAATATATCACTACAATTAATGTTTAATGTAACTGACCTCAAAATTAAAAAAGTGAACTGAACACTTCAACGCGCCGGGACAGTGAGTGAGTGACAGTGAGTGAGTGAGCGAGCTTAGTTTTACGCCGCTTTTAGCAATATTCCAGCAATATCACGGCGGGGAACACCGGAAATGGGCTTCACACATAGTGCCTATGTGGCGAATCAAACCCGGGTCTTCGGCGTGACGGGCGATCGCCTTAACCACTAGGCTACCCCACCTCTCCGAAAACTGTTAGAAAAGCTTAGTAACAACTGACATGTGCAGTGTTACACAGTACGGACTTCAGTACAGAAATTCTATGTGCATACGGGTCTTTTATTTGTTTGTTGGTTTGTTTGTTTATTTGTTGTTTAACTGATCGGTTATATTTGATCTTCAGCGACCCATGCTCTTCTCAAGAGGTCACTAATGGGATGGTGGGGTCAGGCTCGCTGACTTGGTTGACGCATGCTATCGAATTCCAATTGCATAAACCGATGCTCATGATTTCAAATGATTGTCTGGCCCAGATTCCATTGTTTATGGATCGCCACCATTCAGCAGGAAAATTGCTGGGCGCGGCAAACAAACACCTTCTTAATCTCTGGGTTTGTCATATCTCGACTTAATTTAGCCTACAGCCTAAAGCAATAACATTTGTATTTCTTATTGAATCGACGTTTGTGCCATTGAAAACATAGAGAATATGTCCTCACTGATCTCCCATATATGATAACGACGGCCCTGGTATATAAAAGCGCAAGTGCACCAGAGCGTTTTCACTTGCACTATCGGCATTAGGCAACTACACCGCAGGAAACAACATGCCTAAGAAAGGTAAGTCTGTGAATCTGCAAAAGTAATGCTTTGTCTTAGAACTTTATTTTATATTTTTAAAAAAAGTTTGTTTTAGTTCTTGTGAACAGTGACAAACGTAATATGCTATCATCACTGATGTAGCATACCGACACTTTGCTCCTTGTAACAGATGTTATATTTGGGATTACACTTTCTTACTAAAGTACAGATTCTAGTACTTGTAGTTCCATACGGGATTCGAACCCACACCCTCAGAGTCAGGCGCCAAATCGCCAGCACACAAAGTCAGCCGCTTAACCCGCTCAGCCACCGCGACTTCCTGTAGTTTGTTACCTGTATTTTGCCCGGGATTTAAGGTCTGAAATCTACAGTCGGGAGCGGGAGCGAGTTATATAAAGTCTAACGAGGGACGCATAAAATCACACAAACCACGAATAATATCGGCTGCAGCGAATTTATCATGGACCAGGGCGGCTGGGTAGCCTAGTGGTTAAAGTGTTCGCTTGTCACGCCGAAGACCCGTGTTCGATTCCCCACATGGATTCAGTGTGTGAAGTCCATTTCTGGTGTCCCCCGTCGTAATAGTGCTGGAATATTGCTAAAAGCGGCGTAAAACTAAACTCACTCATTCAGTATATGGACCACGGGTTGCACGCGCATGTAACGCTGATTATAATCATTTCTGTCTAAGATCCTTAGTCAGGAGTGGCATTATCTCGTTCGTAGATTGCGGAATATGCAACTTTTATTTGTTCAGGTAAATATACACAGGTAGCATAGTCTGCCAGGTCTGCACAGGTAGGGTCACAGGTAGGGTCACAGGTAGGATCACAGGTAGGATCAAAGGTAGGGTCATGGGTAAGGTAGTAAAGCACGTGTCCTAACCAAGCTAGACTGGGCGTAATCTTCTTTTATACTTCTTTTTGAAGACTAGAGGATCACTAGGATGGTGAGTGAGTGAGTGAGTGAGTGAGTTTTACTCACTCAGCAATATTCCAGCTATATGGCGGCGGTCTGTAAATAAACGAGCCTGGACCAGACAATCAAGTGATCAACATCATGAGCATCGTTCTACGCACTTGGGATACGATGACATCTGTCAACAAAGTCAGCAAGCCTGACCACCCGATTCCGTTAGTCGCCTCTTACAACAAGCATGGGTTACTGAAGACCAAGTCTATCCCGGATCTTCACGGGTACACCAGGATGGTAAACAATCGGGACAAATGACCAGTGAAATGGCTGTATAGCTCATTCTCGGACTGGAATGGGGATCAGTAGAGGGGAATAGGTGGCGACAACCGAATCCCTTAAAATAAATGTTCATACAGGCATAGGTTGTCATGGATAGCTCGATGTGACAATGTTAAGAATGGTGTTTGGCAATGGCATTCGTCACCACTCGTCCCTTTCCGGAACCTCCAAGAAGACTCGCTACCGCCCGATGCTTGCTATGTGCGAATATGATAACAAATCAGAACGCGCGTAATGATTGCGATGCTTCGATAAAAATAGTCCCCAGCACTTAAATCGTTTATGACATTATGGCAATGTTTAAAGAAATCATAGAAAATATATAATATCATCATATTGAAAGTACAAAGAACGTAGCTAACAGAAATGGGTTGTCTCATGTGAAGTTTATTTTAATAAGCATAACGCCAGGGATGGTGAGAGATACACGTGCGTTTGTGTACATAACGGCTTTCATGGGTCCACATGAGTGAAGGCTATTTCTTCCGATCTTGTGGCCTTGTTTTGGAGATTGTACGTGCGCTTTCCAACATTAGGAAATATATATAAATCGCTACGAGTTTCAAAACAATGATATTACATGTATATAATAATAATAAGTGTAAATGATGTATTTCTGTTGAACCATTACTTTAGTTAGCACAAACGGAAGCAATCAAACGCACTACCAATACGTTTTACAGGTTTACTAGAGCGCCTACAGAATGGCGGCAGCGTCATCATGGCTGAAGGCTACGTGTTTGAGTTTGAGAGAAGGGGCTACATCCGTGCAGGGCCGTTTGTTCCAGAGGTGGTTCTTGACTATCCACACCTTGTCAAGAGTCTGAGTGAGGAGTTTGTGCACGCTGGAACTGACGTAGTCCTAGCGTTTACCGTAAGTATAGTATGACCAGAAATTATTGAGAATTTTAGGAATATGTTTAATTGGATTTCTAGTATAAACAACCTTGACCAGCTATCAAGTGCTTGGTTTCATTCAAAAGAGACAACTCCGTTAATCCTTTTTCATTAGTTTGTGAAGAGTTATCCCCCCTTTGTTTACTTGCTAGCAGACGACATTTTCAGTGATCCTCAGTATGGATGATTTAGAGAAGAGGAGGTTGATTTTAGAGTATTATAACAAGGACATCAGATCGGCTAAAGTGATTTCAAGTAGAACAGGCATCCCTTTGTCCACTGTTTATCGTGTTTTGAAAAATATTGCAAATGGATATGGCATTGAGCACCAGGGAGGCGCAGGTAGGCCTAGAAAATTGACTGTCGGTGACAGGAGGCGGCTTGTTCTAAAAAACAAACGAAGGAGTTTAGAAAACTTAAGACTGGATATGATTGATAGAGGAACTGTGGCTGTCTGTAAGGAGACAATTAGAACTGAGCTGCATGCAATGGGTTGGCAGAAAAGTCGAGGAATTCCATCACCGATCATGAAACCTGAACAAAAGGAGCGAAGGTTGAACTGGTGCTTACAGCATAGAAATTGTAACTGGGACAATGTGATTTTCTCAGATGAAAGTTCTGTGTGGCTGTTTCCTAATACACTGAAATTCTGTACCAAACAAACTAAAAAGCCTTTGTATCAGCGCCCAAAGTACAGTCCGAAATTTAACGTGTGGGGTGGCATATCTGTGTTAGGGGCAACGCCCCTCTGTGTATTTGAAGGGAATATGAACAGTGAGCGGTACACAGATATTCTCGAGGGACATTTACTTCCATCTGCTCATGTGTTCTATGGAAAGTTTTGGATTTTCCAGCAGGACAACGACCCAAAACATCGTTCAAAGCATTCACAGGCCTGGTTTCGGACCCAAAATATGACATGATTAGATTGGCCAAGCTATAGCCCTGACCTAAATCCAATAGAAAATGTTTGGGGACTTATGAAGGAAAGTGTCAATAAGAAAAATCTGACAAATATTGCTGAAATGAAAGAAGAGGTGGTCCGATATTGGGACAGCATGGACCACGACTTTCTAACTTATTTGATCAGAAGTATGCCCCGCCCGCATTGGAGCCTGCATTGCTGCCAATGGTGACTTCTCAATAATTTCTGGTTGTACTGTAATGTAACAAACGCGTCACTCAGAAATTGATCACCAAGTGTTTTTCTCCGAACGTATGAAGTAAAAGCGATATTTTCCAGGGATACATTCGATCACGGGGATGTACTGGTTAACGGTGCCATACAGTTAACCAATTATTAGAAAACTCGAAAACTGTTGTTGGTTTGTTGTTTAACGCCGCGCTCAGCAATATTCCATCTATATGGCGGAGGTCTGTGAATAATCGAGTCTGGACCAGACAATCCAGTGATCAACATCATAAGCATCGATCTCCGCAATCGGGATACGATAACATGTGTCAGCCAAGTCAGCGAGCCTAATCCCCTTTCACTGCTTGGTGAACAGAGGCAATTTTGAACAAACTCACTTGCCTAAGGTGAGACCATATGTGTCACTATTGGTTCGTTGAGGGGCACGATAGAAGTGAGGAGTCAAGCTACTACCAAAGACGGCCACCCATTCAAGAACTCCCCTTGACTAACGTTGCGTAACTTCAACTAATTTGTGACTTTACTCTTTGTGACCTTACTCTTTGTGACCTTACTCTTTGTGACTTTACTCTTTGTGACCTTACTCTTTGTGACCTTACTCTTTGTGACTTTACTCTTTGTGACCTTACTCTTTGTGACTTTACTCTTTGTGACCTTACTCTTTGTGACTTTACTCTTTGTGACTTTACTCTTTGTGACCTTACTCTTTGTGACTTTACTCTTTGTGACCTTACTCTTTGTGACTTTACTCTTTGTGACTTTACTCTTTGTGACCTTACTCTTTGTGACTTTACTCTTTGTGACTTTACTCTTTGTGACCTTACTCTTTGTGACTTTACTCTTTGTGACTTTACTCTTTGTGACCTTACTCTTTGTGACTTTACTCTTTGTGACCTTTACTCTTTGTGACCTTACTCTTTGTGACTTTACTCTTTGTGACTTTACTCTTTGTGACTTTACTCTTTGTGACCTTACTCTTTGTGACCTTACTCTTTGTGACTTTACTCTTTGTGACCTTACTCTTTGTGACTTTACTCTTTGTGACTTTACTCTTTGTGACTTTACTCTTTGTGACTTTTTTGTGGCCTTACTCTTTGTGACCTTACTCTTTGTGGCTTTACTCTTTGTGACTTTACTCTTTGTGACCTTACTCTTTGTGTCTTTACTCTTTGTGACTTTACTCTTTGTGGCCTTACTCTATGCACAAGACCCCACACTACCAAACTTCATCTTCATCACTATGACTACCTAGCCGATCATTTAAGGGGGCGGTGGGGATAGCCTAGTTTGTTAAAGCGTTTGCTCGTCACGCAGAAGGCCAGGGTTCGATTCCTCACATGGGTACAATGTGTGAAACCCCGCCGTGATATTGCTGCAATATTGCTAAAAGTTGCGTAAAACCCAACTCACTCACTCGATCATTTCGTGTCGTGTAACAGCTGAAATACTGAAGGCTGGCATGTTAAACAAAAAAACCGGGGAAATTAATTTCCGATCTATGTTTTTTGAGAGGGTAAAATGTAATATATTGTTGATCCCAGTACTATGGGCACCGAGAGAAGCTGAGGCTGATCGGCAAGGAACATCTCCTGGAGAAGCTCAACAGGGATGCCTTGAAGATTGCCAAGGAAGTTGCTGACGAGTCGGAGTGTCTGATGGCGGGGAACATCTGCAACACCACTGTGTACAGGAAAGGCAGCAGGGAACATGAAGAACAGGCCGAGGCCATATTCAAGGTACTTGAGTCAAATATAACCCTTAAACCATTAACATAATCACAGGAAAGCCCCACAGGCCATCGTACGGTTTATGAATCGGTATCAATTGATGATAGCAGGTGCGTGTCTCTCTCTCTCTATTCTGGAGTATGTAGGCCATCGGCCCGTAGTACAGTTATTTCATACAGCCAACAAACGGCTTGTACGTAGCTCAGTCGCGTAAAATAGATGTCGTGTATTGTGAAATGCGGAATATATCGTTCCGCTTATGAAGTTGTGTTTTTGGTGCTGACCGGAAGTAATAAATGAAGCATGTGGCGAAACCGAAACTGTTATGTGGTTCATTGAAGATGCAAAAAGTTGTAACTGACCTGGTCATACTGCTAAATAACAATACGTACATAGCTAGTGTCCTTCCTGAACGATGGCTCTCAAGGATTCGCAAATCATCCTTTGGACAGAAACAACGTATCTGGATAAAATAGTTTCAAATCGACCTCCAGGAATCAGTAGACACTCCTCTGTAAATCGATTCGATCACTGGATCTCAATATGATGGAGATATTGTCTGTGGAGCTAAACAGCGGAAGCCAGTTTGGTTTAACTCTAACAAATGGTTTTCGCTTATAGATATTTACGTAAAAAAACACACATATGAGACACGTCCAAAACAACAACAGGTGATTTGAAGAATATTTTAACTTTACAGGAACAGATTGAGTGGGCGGTTGAATACGATGCGGATTTCATTTTGGCTGAGACATTCCCCGAATTCGGTGAGGCTCTCCTCGCCCTTGAATGCATCAAGAAATATGGACAAGGTAAACACATATGTATACGTTCTGTGTTCTCGCTGTGACATCATATATGTACTGTTATTTTAAGGCGGTATTTGTGGTGGCACGTTGTCCTGTGTACATCCCGCAGGTCACAAATCTGGCGAAGTTAAGCATCGTGGTCGCGGAGAATAATTGGAAGGCCGCGTTCGCCAGCATGACTCCAGAGAATTTCTGGGGCTTTGTTCCTGCCCCACACTGAAGCATTTATGTCACATGTGGTGTCTCCTAAGGCAAGTGACTTTGTTCTAAATATACTGAACCGCAAAAGAAACGTCGCCTTTCAAAACCAAATGCAAAATTTTGTTCTCACAAGGTGGTGTCTTTATGATGAATGAACCGTTTTGTAAACATGTTTTCCAATCCAAATTGACAATTATTACCAACGCCAGTGTGTTTCCTGATGATGAAGCATATCGACCAAACGCACTTAAAAAGGCAGACGTTGTAAAAGGTTCATTATGACATTCATGAAAATAAAAATGCACGTGCATATCGTGACAACCTTACCAATAAAAGCGTGTCCTGAAATCATTTTTGTTGTGACACAATCGCCATGCCACGGCTTACGAGGGATCAGATGAACCAAGCCTTGGGACGATTGCAAGTTGGCCAGACTGCACGGAGGGTGGCCAATCATTTTAATGTTCATGTTAGGACAATCTATCGACTGCAGGAGCGATATCAGGCCCCTAACAGCTTCCAAGACCGTCGACGCAGTGAGCCAGAGAGTTGTCCAGTGGTCCAGGACGAAGAAACGGCGTGACAGCAGCTCGCTATATTGACCAAGTCATAAGACCCCACCTTGCACCACATTTTGGACGTCACAGAAATCACATCTTCGAGCAAGACAACGCTCGTGCCCACACTGCCAGGGTAACATTGGATTTCCAAAGACAACATGACATCCAAACCCTACAATGGCCTGCACTCAGTCCAGATTTAAGTCCAACAGAACACCTTTGGGACGAGATTCAAAGAAGACTGAATGACCTCCAACCAAGGCCGACAACTGCGGCTGGACCCGATCAGGCATTTCGCAGAGTATGGACACAGGTGCCTATGACCTTTATCAACCGGCTAATTCATTCCATGTACAGACTATGCAACGCCGTCATCGATACCCCTGGAGACTACACACGGTACATGGTACCATTTTTGGTGATTTTGTTTGTGTGAACTCTAAATGTGATTGCCGAAAATGTGTTAACCATAACTGTCAAGTTTGAACTAAATCCTCCGTTTTGATTGTTAATTAGAGCGAATTAAAGTGTGTGCTTTAAGAACCCTCTGTCGGTGTGACGTTTCTTTTGCGACTCGGTATATTTTTCTTCTCAGCCAGCAGTGAATAGGTAACCAGTAGAATGAGAAGGTAATGTGATGGGTTGTATACTCCCCAGGGAGATGAGACTGAAACTGTAGCTTTTCTATTGACTGGGTAAAACAATTACAACAAGCAAAACGGAACTACGAAGTTTTGTTTCGGAGATATAACAACTTGACCTCCACAACTGATAAACACAAATTTTCATTTTTAAACCTTTATAAACGAACTTACTCTAGCCCTCTACTGCGATATATAATAATGCACATGGCGACATGCATTGTAGTCGTAAATAATAGAACGGACACTAAATACACGAGTGTCTCATGTTGTAAACACAAACCGACATCTGTGACCACAAACCTTGATAAGGTATTACCTTGTTGAACAATAAAATCTTCAAATGTAATCTGCAATATGGCCTACCTCAGGCACTCCTTCTAATGATAGTTATCTGCCCACTCTTTGTAAATGTTATTACTCACTTTGATGCATATCATTCACCGACGACAGCCTTTTTCAAAGCTTTGAAGAACAATTTTGGAACTCATGACAAATGCGTTCATTGTTCGAAAGACATGCATAACTACTTTTCTTTACAATGTCAAGATCGATATTGTAAGAATTGTTAGGGAATGTGTTAAAATGTCTTCTTTTTCTGTAACTGTCCTAAAGGTAGACCAGCTGTTATCAACATCAGCCCTATAGCTGGAAACAAGACCCTCGACGGTATACCGTTCACAGATGCCTGTCGCCAGTTGGAAGAGGCTGGGGCCGCCGTCGTGGGCTTCAACTGTTACAGGGGCCCATCTACGACGTTACCCCTGCTACGAGACATTCGCAGGGTGTGCAAGGTGAGTGTTTGGTATACTCCTGCTGGAGTGACGTATAAATAGACAAGAAAGTTATGCCGATGTAAAAACTAGATCACATTTTGCCAGTCCCTACCTGAAATGTGGATAATATTTGTTGAATAACCTTATGAGAAAGAGTTTTTTGAAAATCTTTAGTTTTCAATAAATTAGACAATATGTAGCTTTAACTATCGATTCAATCCAAATAAATGACAATGCAGTTACGTCCATATATATATATATATATATATATAGTAGGAAGGATTGACAACGGAGTGACGTGCATGTGTATATTTAAGAATAAATGACAATGCAGCGACGTGCATGTATACATTGTAGGAAAAAATGAGAATGCAATGACGTGCATGTGTATATTGTAAGAATAAATGACAACGCAGTGGCGTCCATACCTATACATTGTATGAATGAATGACAATTCAGTCACGTGCAAATATATATTGTTGCAATGAATGACAATGGAGTGACGTGAATGTATACATTGTAGGAATGAATGACAATGGAGTGACGTGAATGTATACATTGTAGGAATGAATGACAATGGAGTGACGTGAATGTATACATGTAGGAATGTATATACATTGTAGGAATGAATGACAATGGAGTGACGTGAATGTATACGTGAACATTTGTAGGAATGAATGAAATGACAATGGAGAATGAATGACAATGTGAATGTATACATTGTAGGAATGAATGGACGTGAATGTATACATTGTAGGAATGAATGACAATGGGGTGACGTGAATGTATACATTGTAGGAAAGAATGACAATGGAGTGACGTGCATGTGTATATTGCAATAATAAATGACAATGCAGTGACGTGCATGTCCATTTGTTTGGTTTGCAGCTGCAACACTTCGTATGATGAACATTCATATGGACAGATTAACTAATCATGTTTCTCGCACATGACGGAATGAATTCCCTGTAACCATGGCAACATACACAGATAGCAGCTGACTTTCTATTTTCAGAAATTATTGTTATGTTCCAAAATGGTAAATGTGTTTATCTGACGTTATGATTGTAGGGTCCTATCGCCGCCTTTCCCGTTCCCTACAGAACCTCCAAAGAGTTCCCCACTATGTTGTCCCTGATTGACCCTTTCACTGGTGAGTATATGCTGTACCTACAGCTAGTCTTCTTTCCATATGCCCTGGTCAAGCTGGACAACCATCGTCAAGAGTGAGTGAGTGAGTATGGGTTTACGCCGCTTTTAGCAATATTCCAGCAATATCACGGCAGTGGACACCAGAAATATGCTTCACACATGGCGAATCGAACCATGGTCTTCAAGCGTGACGAGCTTTTACCACCGTCCCCCATTTTGATGATCGGTGTTCTGTTCTTCGGCAACCTATTTGGTATTCGGCAACACCTCTTGTAACAGGGATCTCCGGTTTGGGTGGTCAGTCTAAAATACGTGGTTTGATGCATGTCTACATATTCCAGCGGATTAGATCGTAGACACTCTCGTCTTTTGACCTACCCGTAGTAATGACTGGGGTAGGTGCCGATAAGCCTATGTTTGAGATAATTTTGATATTCGTTATATTTAGGACTCCTTATATTTCTGCGACTCTATTTGCATAGGCGGGGGTGGGGTGAGCAGGGGTACACAGGGGTACACAGGGGGGTCCTGAAAGGTTAATCAAATGACCATTGAAACTCTCGTGAAAACAATGGTGCACTCATTTCATTTTTTATTTATATTCAATAAAAGGTAAGCGGGCCTTCCCCGACGTCTCCTCTCAACTGTGTGGTGTGGCAGAAATAACGGCGTTTGCGAAGGAATGCAAGGAAATTGGCGTTCAGGTGGTTGGCATCTGCTGTGGCAACACTCCCGCCATGACCAGAGCGGTCGCCGAAGTGTACGGCCGTACTCCCCCCCGCATCCAAGTTCTCCCCATTCATGGAGAAGCATTTCATCTTCGGGGAGCACAAGTCGGACTACTTCACCGATGACTACTACCTCTCCAAGTTGAGCGCTGCCGTCAGTAAAGCTCCATGAACACCCGTTACTCAAAATCAAATCTAAATTCTAAGTTCAGCTTTTGTAGATGAAATGAATCTGTTGATTTGTAACATTAGAAATTCCTATCCGAATTATAAGCAGTGAATCATCTTTAGTCCCGAAAACGTGCCCATGGACTCTCCTGGGTCTCTACTTTGTGTGCTGGTGATTAGGTGCCTGACCCTGTTGTGGGTTCGAATCCCGGATCGGGCTCATCCCAACAAGACTACTAGATTCTGTACTTTACCAAGAAAGGGTAATCCCAAATATAACATATACTAAAACACTCGTTACATATGTGGTATCAATCTTCCTTTAGACAAGTGTACAATGTGTGCCCATGTTTGGTTTCCTTAATCGTAATATAGCTGGAATATTGCTAAACGCTCGTTCATGGAAGCAAGGGACGTTTCTGGCAAGTGCCTGGTAGCATGAGGTGATGACATTTAACCTTCCATCACCCATATGCAGCTTGGGCTCCCCAGGGAGCTGAGAATGGTCTCTGACACACTGATCCATTGACGGGGTAATAAGCACTTTGAGCATGCTCTAAGATGTGGATTTAGCACATGTTAACTCGTATAAGCACATTATTCATGGATACGTCTCTACTAAATGTTTCCCCTGTTAGATTAACGGGGTTAACGATGCATCCTACATTCTCAAAACTGTCAAAATAAAAACCCAGGATTATTAAAAGTTGATAATGATTGTGTGGGAGATTAAACAGAAGATCAATATTCTATCGGTGGAAAGATAATGTTTTTCAACTACTTACTCGCAGATAGAAAAACTCGGAAATGGCCATATGTATCCATGTATGTCAAGAGGCTGGTGTTTACTTCAAGTGGGAGGATGTAAATAAATGTCATCCTGGAATATGTTGGGTTTGATTTGTTCCTGCCAAAATGGATATTCATTCATTCATTCATTCATCCATTCATTCATTCAGAGCTTGTGATTTTTGTTTACGCCGATTGGAGCATTCTGTAATGTCCCAAGGCACTGGTTGAATGTGGGAGGAAAACCCAAAGTAATGCAATTCTTAGAAATGAAATGACCAACACCCGCTATGGCGCTGAAAACCGGTAGAAGCACAATAATGATTAGTACGGGGATTACAACTATAAATTAATTAATACTTGTAAGTATCAGCAGCACAACTCGTTTCATATGATTTTCACAGCTATCGTTTCATTTAGAAATTTGTTTCTGAGGTTAGTTGAGACTGGGTATTCTTTTGCACTGGCACTGTATATTATAGTCAGAACCAAAAATCTAAAAATCTATAAATGGTGCAGTAATCTATTTCTTACACGCACGCACGCACGCACGCACGCACGCACGCACGCACGCACGCAACTCACATCTCTTTACCACCTAGTGCAACCCTTCACCAAATTATTTCGGCCATAACTGGTGATTACCATGTCTTTGATGATAATACATATCTCTTTAACCCGTGAAGGTCCGGGTTTGAATATTGATCTTCAGTAACCCATGCTTGTCGTAAGATTGATGCTCGTGCTGTTGATCATTGGGTTGTCTGGTCCAGACTCGATTATTTACAGACCGCCGCCATATAGCTGGAATATTGCTGATTGCGGCGTAAAACTCAACTCACTCACTCACATATCTCTTTACCATCGGATCGATCATAATTGTCTCTTCTCACGGTTCTGTGACGCGTCAATAAATAGCACAACGGTAACGTGTGGCGTCATCCGGTTTACTCTACACACACTTTGTGTAACCCTTCACGAACTGGTTTCATCCATAACTGTTGATTACAATGTCCAAAGACAAACTAGATACATATACACAACGATTTATTAGAAAGTTATGGAATCCGAGAAGGGACATTGTCGCTATGTCGCATTGTCGCCCTCTCAAAAACAAGTAAAGTGAGGCAAAATAAACCAAAACGCGACACGCGACATCGCGACAATGCGACAAATGGGCGGAATGTCGCGTTGTCGCGATGTCGTGTGTCGCGTTTTGGTTAATTTTGCTTCATTTTGCTTGTATTTGAGAGTGCGACAACGCGACAATGCGACAACGCGACAATGTCCCTTCCAGGATTCCATAGAAAGTGGTCAAATCTAACAAGTATAGTTGTGATTACATTTCGGCATACATCGCTGAAAATTACGTATACCACTCTAAAACGACTAGAACCCGTACTTTCCTCAGATAGTGTTCTTCCAAATTAAACTGGCGGTGGGGTAGCCTAGTGGTAAAAGCGTTTGCTTGTCACGCCGAAGACCCGGGTTCGATTCCCCACATGGGTACAATGTGTGAAGCCCATTTCTGGTGCCCCCCGACGTGATACTGCTGGAATATTGCTACAATCGGCGTGAAACGTAATTCACTCACTCCCTCACCAAATCTAACAATTGTCACAACTTAAAGATGATCAAGGGACATTTGAAACGATCAAGTTTCGAAACACACAAGATCTACTTTTGTCACAAATTCAGTAGTGTCTGCTTTTAGCTGGAGAACAAGAAACTACGTTAAGGAAGGATTGTTTCAAGATGACTTGAAAATAAGTGTTTCTTGAGTTTTGAGACGCTCCCTTAAGAAGTCAACAAAACATAACACATTGCAAATATGACCTCAGTTGTGTCGAGTATCACTTGCTTATCGCAGCTTAGTAGTATGTCGCTTTGTGGAACGGGGAGTAGCATTTTAGTGACGATTGTAGTCGACGTGAATCCTAAATATGACTAAATTCTTTTCTGTTTCTTATCAAGTGTTGTTCTTCAAAATGTAAGATAATACAACACGGTCTCTTATAAAGATACCGTTCACAATTAGCAGGTTCAAGATCTGCCTCTACTAAGTACCCCCTTCTTTGCAATTGAAAGTCCACATTATCATCTTCTCATGTACAGTCACGCCGAAGACCCGGGTTCGAAGCCCCACATGGGTACAATGTGTGAAGCCCATCTCTGGTGTCCCCCGCCGTGACGTTGCTGGAATATTGCTAAAAGCGGCGTAAAACCAAACTCAGTCAGTCAGTCAGTCAGTCTCATGTACAGTGCACCCTGGTTATACCGCCCCTGGTTATAATGCCACCCTGGATATAAAGCCATGTTTTTGTCAGAACAGATTTCCTGCCTTTATAATACCCTGGTTATAATGCGAAACTGGATATAATGCCATGTTTTTGTCAGAACAGATTTCCTGCCTATATAATACCCTGGTTATAATGCCAAACTGGAGATAATGCCATGTTTTTGCAAAAACAGATTTCCTGCCTATATAATACCCTGGTTATAATGCCAAACTGGATATAATGCCCTATTACAATGGTTTTTGGAACAAAAAGTCATTTACCCCTGGTTATAATGTCAATTACACTGGTTGCGTGTAGTATACATACCTTAATAGGTTGATTGACATGACTCAAATTAATTGACCAAACTCATTAATGCTGTAAGTAGCCATGTGATCCCAGATAGGATATATTTCACTTGGTATGTACTATTTTACCCTCAATTACGAGAACTAAAACCAGTGTTCTAATTACGCTCTTTATGTATTTCCTTCATGCAAACGTGCAGAGAAGTATCACTCATTCTACTATAACTTAAGTAAATACAGGATTGTGATATACCTCTGAATGACTTTAATTAACCAATCACAATCCTATCTTTATATATTCCAAAATGGCGTACAATTGATGGTGGACGGTCAGTATGTAAGTGCACGAAGCCCGAAAACAAAACTTAATTGTCAATCGAATCAACATAATCCAACAACGCGGAGCAGGATATTTAACTTCAGCCAGCCATACTTGTCGTAAGAGGCAACTAATGGGATCGTGTGGTCAGTCTCTCTGGTCTTGGTTGACACATGTCATAGTGTCCCACTTTTGAAAAAAAAAACCGGTAATGTTTCCACATTTTTTTATACTTTACACTTGTCTAAAGTAGGCCAAACGTATCAAATAAATGTCGCTGGAGCACCCTTTGGTAGATATAGTCTGTCGCACCAGATGTAAAATCGCATCTGCAATCGGCATGAGCCGGTTTATTGTCTGATATGCTGCCGGCTAGCTCTGTGTAAATTATAAAAGCCTAAAATATGTGTTTCCTCCAAAGAATTTCTACCAATGACATCACATGATACTGTCACCACACAGGTGAACAGATACGTTACTGCAACTTCAAATACTGTGTGTTTAGGTGTAACAGTTTGTTGTTAATGAAAGCTATATTAGTTAATAAAAACTTACTTAGTTCATACGGCCTGAAAATTGCTGATTACAGTTTACATCTGTCAAAAACGAACCAAGAAATGATTTTCCAAAACAAATACGTTACCAACAGCATACGTTACTCGGTATCTTTATATGCAAGCAAAAATTAATTTACCGCTGAAGTGACAATTACATGGTGCGTTATTTGCACAGCTCGTGTGAGTTCTGTCATTTGACACGTTACAAGCTAAAAACTGTATAGATTGAAAAAACACAGAGCCAATTTCACTCCTACATGTTTCATTAATTACTTCAGAGAGTTTTTAATGAAAAAAGGTAGGAGTGAAAATGGATCTGTGAAACTAACCGTAAACTTGGGAACATCAAAAACACACACATTTATATACATATATATATACACATATATAAGAAGAAGTTTCGGAAATAATCACACGACACGGATCTTCTCCAACGTACTACTGTACGCTCGGTATTCTCATCACTTTCTTTATATACACATATATATATATATTTCAGTCTATTGAAATATATCTAACTGTAAACTTGGGAACATCAAAAACACACATTAACGCACACACACACACACACACACACACACACACACACACACACACATATATATATATATATATATATATAAGAAGTTTCTGAAATAGTCACACGACACGGATCTTCTCCAACATGTCAATTGTTTAAGGACAAGTGTAAAGTATACAAAAATGTGGAAACATTACCGGGTTTTTTTTCAAAAGTGGGATACTATGGGATACTATGACGTGTGTCAACCAATGTATATATGTACTACTGTACGCTCGGTATTCTCATCACTTTCTTTATATATATATATATATATATATATATATATATATATATATATATATATATATATATATATATATATATATATCCTGGCTCAGCTTGTAATGGTTAGACAAAACATATCACCTGCAATGGTAACGCACAAAACCAAAATGAGGTTCTCAAGACTGGGGCTTTGGTGTAAGAAGCATCTGTAAATGAAAATCCTCCAGATCCTGGAACATCACAGGGTACTCTAAGTTCTTTAAATCCAAGATTGGTACCAGATCTAGGGTCATTCACTACTGCGGTGTGACTAGTGGTACGCTGGAATAATTCTAGAAGTGATGAAGTGGATGGAGAAGCGTTTGATTCCTTCATTGTCGGTCCACCAAAGAAAGGTCAGAAAACATACGAATGACCCGATGAAGCTGATGTGATTTTAGTTCGGTTTAAGGACACTCTCTGTTTACCGTAGCCCGATCCAGTAGGTCACTCCAGAAGGCCCTACAGGTTATCCAGTGAGGATGGCATGAAAGTTCAGAATAACTTCGCCAAGTCCTTATCATGTGCAAAGTAACAAACATGAAGCGTGTCCAGTTGTTTTATGGGGATTTTCAAGTTACTATGTTAATCCTAAAATTGTTATGCTGGCTCCTTGCAGCTCTTTTGGTTTGTAATGATTGTCATACACCGGCAGTGAAACTGTATCTGTTTTCGGAACAGATATTTTATTGCACATTTGTCCTGAGCGAAATGACGCACGTAATAATTTGTTCGTGATAATGAAAAGTATTATTTGTTCAGTTACCTGGCAACACCATTTAGTATTTCAATGGTTGATTTGCTATTAAAGAACCAAACTAGTAACAGATACTTCACAATGGAAGCTGATGTTTTTTCAGCGAAAATATCCTCAAGTTAATATTGGTCAAGAAATATGACTGCTATTTTAACTGAGAACATTTCTTGGCAGAGCGTGGTTTGTTTTCTGCAAAATATAGACTATTTTTTTTCTTGCTTTGAAAATTTGACAGATACCTTACTTTCTGAAAGTTACTTCTTGTGTCACTGGCAACATATTTTGATAATTATGCCTCACAAAGTTTGAGCATGTAGGAAACGGCTTTCTCTTGCATAACAAATAGCATGTCTACCCATACCGCTTAAAACTAGCTCATGTGCATTTGGATGAAAGGTATTTGGAGCAATAGCAAGAAATATGAAAATAGAATATTTTGTAACACTAAAGGAAAAACCATTCAATTAATGCATGTTTCTTTTTTCTAAGTATTTTTGATAAACAAGCTTTAAAATGAATACATTCAAAATTGCAGGAAGAACGTAAGATTTCCAAAAAATTATTTAGAAAATCTTTGTTTCCTAATACTGATAACAGAATTTTAAAATAGGTGTTACATTATGTAGTAAGGTACAAATGTACTCAATATGGAAGGCAGCTCTTATAGGCTTAAGAATGAACCTTACTACATCAACAGTTATCTCCCCTGGTGTAGCAGACGGCTTCCTTTGTTGACATGACAGATTTGACAGCACAAGAGAAACGAAAGCTGGTTCTAGATGATTTTGAAAGGGGTGTGATTAATGCAAAAGAGTTAGTTGGTAGACATGACATTCCTCTGTCTACAGTATACAGAACTTTGAAGAATATTCAGTCAGGAGTCGGGATTGAGCACAAGATAGGTTCATGGAAACCAAGGAAGTTCAATACTACGGGTCGCCGGCGGCTTGATCAGATTTTGAGTAGGGGGAAAATTTAAAAGCGTTGATAATATCAGAAATGAGATGATTAATAGAGGAACTCCTCAGGTATGTAATGAAACCCTTAGACAAGAATTTCAAAGACTTAACTGGGTGAAAAAGCGCAGAATTCCCTCACCTTTGATGAAAGATGCACAAAAAGACGTTAAAACAGGTGAGTGTAGGGCTCACGAAAATCAAGATTGGGATAATGTTTTGTTTTCTGATGAAAATTCTGTCTGGCTTTTTTCGAACTGTGTGAAAATTTACATGCGGGGTGGGATATCATCAAGTGGTGTGACGCCGTTGTGCATATTCACCCGAAATTTGACGAAGGAACGATATGTTCACATCTTAAATGGTCACCTCCTTCCAATGACCCGGACACTGTATGAAGATAATTGGACTTTCAAGCCTGATAACAACCTAAAACACACTGCAGGCTACACAAAACAGTGGTTGTCGGACGAAAATGTTAAAGTTTTAGACTGGCTCAGCTACAGTCCAGATCTTAACCCTACTGGGAATGTGTGGGGACTAATGAAGGACAGAATGAACCAAAACAATTTGAGGATATGAAGAAAGAAGCGGACGAATATTGAGATATGCTGTCACACGATGTCCTACAAACTTTGATCGGTAGTGTACCTACGCGCATTAAGTCGTGTATTGCAGGGCAAGGAATTCTGACAAAGTACTGAAAAGACACTTAGACTGTAAGAGAATTATATCTCAAAATATTCATTTAAGTAAAACTTCTATAGTTTATATGCATGTATTAGATATTTGCCGAAACAACTTTCTCAATAATTTCAGGGAATATTGTAATTACGTTAAAAATTGACCCCAAATTGGCATTCTGGAGGTAACGTATTTGTCCCGTGACAAAATCCTTGGTCTGTTTTTCAAATATCTACGACTGCTGAAGGGAAGCCGTTTTAAGATTATATCGTTGCACTATCCTAGTTTGATTTAAAACATAGTATGAAGGAAACACGTAATGACATTTGTTTTGGATATTATAGCAGGTGTTAGGAAGGGAAACTCATACAAACATAGACAAAAAGCTTTTATATCGTAGAAATGTATTAGCCTTAATACATGTCACAGTAAGCTGAGGACACATGAGTCAGTAATATCTATACAAGGTACAAGTTCTTGGTGTTTCACGTATATAAATTAGTAACATCTACACAAGGTACATGGTCTTGGTGTTTCACGTATATAAATTAGTAATATCTACACAAGGTACACGTTCTTGCTGTTTCACGTATATAAATCATTAATATCTACACAAGCTACATGTTCTTGGTGTTTTACGTATATTCATTCATGTACATAAACGTCAGTGTTACATTTTATTCATTCAGTAGAAAGTTCAGGGCAGAAAACCATAACACAACGATCTTAATAAAGTCCACTTGTCACCTCCATACACCAGCTCCTTTGGAAGACAGAATAACCGAAGACTTGAAGGGTTATAACTTGGCTTCAACGTCGGATCCCAAGTAGAAAATGTTCTTTACATTCGGGTTTTGGATTGCATCTCTGAGGATGTTAAATTCCTCGATAGGGTATTGTGTTTTGCCGTCTAATGCCATCTCACTGAGGATCTTGCCGAACAGGCTAGAGAATCTGTAAAATACGATACACTGTTAGACACTTTGTATATGAGTTTTGTTATCACGATGGGGACAATGCTTGGGAATGAAACCATTTCGACAAAGGCGATGAATACCTGATTTAGAATGGTTAAACTTTACAAACTGTGAGTGGGTATGGGGTTAGGCCGCTTATAGCAATATTCGAGCAATACCAAAAATGGGCTTCACATTGTGACCATGTGGGGAATCAAACCCGGGTCTTCCGCGTGACCATCAAACGCTTTAATCACTAGGTCACCCCACCGCCCCTGATCTCATTGGCAGATTGTGATATTATCAGCTGAATAACCACGGGTATTACTCAGTTATATTATTATATAAGTTATAAACAGATTTATAAGGCATTACTTGAAAGCGTGTCCAGCCCCACAGCAAACAATTACATCCGGGTACCCCTTGTAAGCGCATGTGTCGATGACGAAGCTCCGGTCGGGAGGCATGGTGTAAAGACATGTTTTTGTATAGAGCAGAGGGCCATCAAACTGAAAGTAAAAATTCAGAAGTGAAGTAAAATATATAGCTTTAACACTTTTACTATAAGATTGTATATAGTACTAATATACTAGTATTGCTGCAAAGATAAGATACCAGCTGTAAACTTCCGGGTGTCACTGTATCGCTTAAGCAATTCACCTATGGCATTAAGCTCAACTATGACATCCCTGTGACAATCAGAAGTATCCCTGTGATGAAAGTAACTCAGAGGCAAACATATATTTCAATTACATTACCACGGTAAACAAAGATGAAGGGTCTTGACGGTTACAGCCTTGTGAAAACCACGGTGGGAAATAGTGTGAACAATTAAAGAGAATTCGCCACATCGTACATAGAATGCGGATGTATGTAAGGGAAGCAACTCTGTATTTGCGAACCACGGCGCCAAAGATATGAGTTGTTACTTAAAGCAAGCATTTTATCTATGCTTTTGTTTGAAGAAATATATAATATTTCGCAGTGTCAGGATTTGAAAGACTACAGAATACCGGATACCTTCCGCCATCTATGAAAACTTTAGAACTGGGCAAAACGTGCGCAACTCGACCCGAGTGTTTAGTACTTCGCTATCTTAGTGTGCCTTCTTTTTTAGCACCTGGATATCCTTTGCCATCTTCTTTAGGGTTAGTTTAACGAATATGGTTAGTTTTACTAACCGGACATTGTCCCAATTAATCCGATGTTAATGGTTATTTTTTATTTTGATGCTTCCTTATTGTTTCGAATTATATAGCTCGTGCTTCCCTATAATAGTAAGTGAACGTGACACTGAAGAAAATGGTAGGTAGGTATCCGGTATTCTGTAGGTGTACCCTTGGAATTACATCCGTTATAACCTGTCAATGTTAAAAATAAGACTTAATCCTGTTACCTTTGGACAGATGTCTTTTACAAGGTCAGTACAGACTTTCTCTCTGGCAGGGTCGGGGTCAAAGGTCCTGGTGTTGGCAGTAACAGCCGGGCCCCCTGCATCTATTCCGATCTTCGTCCCCGAGTTGCCGTGGATGGGGAGGGAGTAGATGTCGTAGGTAGGGAGATGGTAATACCACACAGGGAACCTGCAATGATTGAACAAACATAATCAGTCTGGTAATACCTTTCTGGCGTTGATGACGGAGACTTTAATCGCATGCAACTTTGTTAAAAGCGAATATGACGACTGTGACCAGGCGTTTGTCACTTAGGTAAAAGGGTATCGTTCGGACGCACCAAGGATCATAATCAGTTCGAATCTGGGGGTGAACATCATGTCGCCAAGGAGGAACGTAATTCTGGGATCCGTGCTAATGCCAGGTCCTCTGGTCTGCTGCGCAGCGAATTTCCGGCATGTCTCATAAATCGCTCTGAGAGGCGATCGAGTGGTCAGAGTCGCTGATTTGGTCGCTGAATGTCAATGTGTCCCAATGATGTAGTTCGATGCTCATGATGTCACTCACTGGATTGTCCTGTCCAGGCTCGGTTGCTTACAGACCGCTGGGCGCCTTTTTACAAGGTATCATGAGCGTTTCAACAATCGTAAGTCCATGTTAAGGTATGGAACAAATAGCGCTTTGTTCCTTGGTACTCTTGTATTTTAGATAAGCAACAAATTGGGTGAGCCTGTGTGGTACATAAAGGTCATACACTTACTTATCTATGGTAAAGTCCTTCATGTGGGGTGTGCCAAGGTACGACACTTGCTCCTGGGTGACGGTGACTGGTATGTGGACTCCGATGGTTCCCAGCACTGAGTTGAGCCAGCCTCCAGCAGTGATAACAATCTTCTTGCACTCGAAGGAGCCTTTCGTTGTGTACACCTACAACGGCCAAGCATAGGTAGCACATGGGGTATGATACAAACAAATCAGGAAACAACCAGAATCGATAATGTTTAGTTGTTTGTTTGTTTGTTGTTTAACAGAAATACCCGAGCTATAAAATAAATAAATAAATAAATAATGAAATAAATCTGTAAATAATCGGACCAGACAATCCAGTGATCAACAGCATGATCATCAGTCTACGCCATTGGGATACGATGACATGTGTCAACCAAATCAGCGAGCCTGACCACGTTAGTCGCCTCTTACGACGAGCATGGGTTGCTGAAGACTACTATATGGGGAATTCCAGACAACTATATGGGGTGTTAACGGATGTTAACTCACCACAACGTTGCCATTGCTGGCCCGACCTATCCTCGTCGCCGGACAATTTTCCAAGACTGTAGCCCCATTCCCGCGGGCCAATTGGATGTGGACCGCATTGGCGAGAGCAGCGTCCACGATGCCGGCGTTCTCTTGCAGCAGCCCGACGATGTCAGGACCAACACGGAACTGTGGATACCGCTCCATCACCTGTTTGTTGTTAAGCTTCTGGTACCTGTTGAGATGCAACATATCTCACAGAATACTGGACGTGAAATTGATAAATGCAATAAGGTTCTTGGATTTTCAGTTTTTGTGACAGTGAAGTTTAGCTAAGGTAAATTTGATGGTGCGCAAGGTTCCAAAAATAATATAATATTTGTATAATTCATTGGAAATAGGAACGGTGGGGAAGCCAAGTGATTAAAGCGTTCGCCCTTCACGTCGACGACCGGGTTCGATTCCCCACATGGGTACAATGTCCGAAGCCCATTTCTGGTGTCCCCCACCGTAATATTGCTGGAATATTGCTAAAAGCGACATAAAACTAAACTCACTCACTCAGTATTCGAAATATAGTGTCGTAAGGTCCGAGTTTAAGATTGTTTTGTCTTGTTAGCATCATTCATCAGTTTTAGTAATGACATAACAAGGATGTTTGATACAATTCAACGTCAAATATAAAGACTGAGTGAGTGAGTTTGGTTTTACCCGGATCTTAGCAATATTCCAGCAATATTACGGCGGGGACACCAGAAATGGGCTTCGCACATTGTACCCATGTGGGAAATCGAACCCGCGTCTTAGGCTTGGAGAGCGAACGCTTTAACCACTAAGCTACCCCACCACCCCTCAAAGACAAAGAACAAGGCCCCGTTGCACAAACCTATCTCAGCGCTAAGGTGATACTCTCATAAGCTCACATAGGCTTACAATAGTCGTAGCGTTTTGTGCAATGGGACCTAGGAGAAAGAAGGAAAAATGTGGAGAACAGCGAAAAAGAGAAACTTCGATATCCTTGTAGGAGGAGGCAAGGAACGACAGAAGCTGAATCTTTCTGCCGGTTAGGTGACAGAAGAAGGACAAAGAACCAAGTGACATAATGTTATTATGATATTAGTTTTCAACTTAAATGTTCAGTTATTTCGGCAGATATCCTACTTTATATTGGTTCTGTCCATCGACTCGGCGTACACGTTCATAATATGGTCAGCCTCCCCTCGTCTGGCGAGCTGGAGACTGGGTGTCTTGAACACCACCTGCAGACCAGAATCCTTCTCTACTGACTCCCACCTGTCAACATTAGCATCAACATTAGCATCTACATTAGTGTCAACATTAGAATCAGCATTAGCATCTACATTAGTGTCAACATTAACATCAACATTAGCAGGAACATTAGTGTTAACATTAGCACCATCATTAACATCCACATTAGTGATAACATTAGCACCAGCATTAGCATCCACATTAGTGATAACATTAGCACCAGCATTAGCATCCACATTAGTGTTAACATTAGCATTAGCATCCTATATTAGTGTTAACATTAGTATCCGCATAAGTACGAACAATAAGGTCAAGGTTGATATCAGATTTGTTTGCATTGCTTGTCCTTTAACCCAATTAACGTTTTTAAATATTAACGATTTTTTTACTGTGATCAACAATCGAGTGTGGATCAGAAAATCAGGTGAGTGAGACCATTATCAACAGTGATAGCGCATCAACATTCAACATTTCAGCTAACTACTTGGGCGGTGGGGTAGCCTAGTGGTTAAAGCATTGGCTCGTCACGCCGAAGGCCCGGGTTCGATTCCCCACATGGGCACAATGTGTTAAGCCCATTTCTGGTGTCCCCCGCCGTGATATTGCTGGAATATTGCTAAAAGCGGCGTAAAACTAAACTCAGTCAGTCAGTCAGCTAACCACTTTGATTAGTGTTCGAGTCGCCATTCTGGTATTATATTATTCGACCACAAACATAGCGAGTGAGTGGAGTGAATCTTTTCAACATAGCTGTCAGCAATACCCGAGCTATGTGATGACGGTCTGTAAGTAATTGTACCTGGATGAGACAATCCAGTGATTGATATTAAGAGTAGCTTCTCACACATTTCGGGTACGATGACAGGTGAACAACCAAGTGTGACCACCCGATTCATTTTAGTCACTTTTTCGACTTGCCTGTTTACAAAACAGATATAAGTTAAATTGTTTAATTATTTTTATGACATAATTTTACGTGCATCATAAGCGATTGAATGGAAGGAAGATCTTACGCTGGGAACGTGTGTGGAGTCAGCCTGGTGTATTTGTCCTCATGATACGTCAGCCGGCTGAAACAGATGGACAGGGTTCTTAAGCAGATATTCATGCAACGAAATCCATAATAAAACTTTAATGGAGTGACGTAAATTGAATTGATGCAGACAGTTTTAAATCCATGATATTTTAAATGTTTTCTGATGCGGACCATATACATAGTATGAATGCCTAAACAGTATGGATGGGTGGTTGGATGAATGTGTTACTTACATGATCCTTGAGTGGTCTTGTGAACCCCCATTATCATGACCAAGCTTGAACTGCTCTAGGCCCAAAACTACAACACAAATTTACATACATTTAGTGATTTGAGCTTAATGCCATTAATATCATGGCCTGGAATGTAGACATTTAACCCATGGACACGTGCATTGTGTTCACGGTGCAGGTTTCTAACGAATTTACAACCACCGAATCGTGACATGGCCAAGAGTCATACGATTTGTCCTATAATTGAGGCCAGTCGGGCTCTCATCTCAATTTGTTTGACTGTTTGTTCACAAATACCTTGGTAGTGTCTGGTTTAGCATAATTACCTATGCAATACCCGTGAAGACCCGGGTTAGAATTGATCTTCAGTAACCCATGCTTGTCGTAAGAGGCGACTAACGGGATCGGGTGGTCAATCTCTCTGACTTGTTTGACACATGTCATCGTATCTCAATTGCGTAGATAGATGCTCATGATGTTGATCATTGGAATGTCTGGTGCAGATTCAATTATTTACAGAACGTTGCCATATAACTGGTTAAGAGTGTAGCGTAAAACTTAACTCACTCACTCACTCACCTAAGTTGTAACTTTGCGGGTTTGATGTGGTGATCAGTTTCATAAAATATGGTTTTATGGTTTTGACAGTGAACAGGGTTGATAGACATACAGCTGAATGACTATACATCCTAGTTTGTTCCAGATGTTTACAGTTATAGCCTCCGGTGAGGGATAACCTCAGCTGTCCAATAGTCCAACATTTGAATTACAAAGTTGTGTCATCACAGTATTTTCGAATGCCAATTACCCCGACAACCGGTGTCTTCGGTTACAGTTTGGTTTATGACCGAAATATCGTTCATTGCGTAGTTAAACCCAACTCACTCATTCAGCATTGTTGGAACTCTGAGGCACCAAGTATAAATGCCATTATCGTATCGTCAGTAAGTAAAATCCCGTCATACTTGGCAACATACGAAACCTCACATCGTACCGTCAGCGTGTACAAATTCGTCATACTAGGCAACATATGAAACATCACACTTTTATAATATGTTATGTGTATTATAATATCAGTAATGTAACAAATAGCATCCTATAATACATGCATTAGTTACTGAACATTACTGCACAATCAAGTGAGTGAATATCGTTTTACGTCGCTTTTAGCAATATTTAAGCAATATCACGGCGGGGGATACCAGAAATGGTTCACACATTGTGTCCATGTGGGCAATCAAGCCCGGGTATTCGGCGTGACAAGCGAATGCTTTAACCACTAGGCTACCCCACCGTCCCCCGACCTTCATGCACCACACTGGGTCATCCAATTATGTTTGCTTATTAAATATTCCAGGGTGTCGTTGAACAAAGCGCTCTTTGATCGTAACTATTTCACAGTTTCTGTACTTTACAGTTTAATTCAAGAAAACATCGACGTCAGAGTAAACCCAGTCTCTATTATCCTACAAAATACTAAAATCACTATAAAGAGTATATAAAATCAGTGAGCGCACACATTTAATTGACTGATTAACTCGTTGTCCATTTAAACATTAGAACATTGAATAAGAAATGACATCACTATTTACCAGATCGTGATCTTTTCGAGAGCCAGTAGACAGCGCCGCTTCCAATGCCCCCACAACCAATAACTATATAATCGTAGTACGGTCGTTTGCCTGTGTCCGACATGTTGGTTATCTTAAGCTTCCCGCAATGAATGCATTTCTTCTGCTCTCTGGACATATATTAGGCACGAGAGCAGGCAAATCTAGCTAGTCTGAGCGAGTTCTAGGAGCCTGTAGCCTGACCTCGCCCCGCTAACCTGCTGTTGTCACCCATCCCACCTGTACACCATTGAAGACGGGAACTGGCAAATGGGCTTTAATGTCTTAAAGATAAACATCGTGACCTCTTATTTACAAACAGCGTCAACATTCTTGGAGTTAACAGATCTACAGTAGTGATGCTTGTGACAATTATATACAATTATATATGTACTGTGATGGTTGGAATGTTTGCAATCACAAGCCGAAAACGTTGACTGCTGACCATTCTATCAACCACAGGTTTTGAATCAATTACTACGAGCTATGATATTGCTGAATATTGTTGCTCAGCAATGTCTGTCCTCAGTCAAAATTGTTCATTTTTTAAATATAATGCTTAGCTTATTATGTTGAATACCGTTTGTTAACAGTTCCATGTAAGGTTGCTGGGTAAACGATATACTCAAGTAACCAAAGTTCGTCGTAAGAACATCAAACGCATGAAGTTCCGTGTTAGAATGGGTTAGAGATCCGGCGGTCTGGCTCGCTGGCTTGGTTGACACATGTCATCGTATCCCAATTGTGTAGATCGATGCTCATGTTGGTGTTGATCACAGGATTGTCTGGTCCAGACGCGATTATTTACAGACCACCGCCATATAGCTAGAATACTGCTGAGTGCGGCGTTAAACAACAACCAACCAGCCATAAGAATATCTTGAGAACGCAGTTATTGCTGCTTGCTTGACGAGCTGTTTGATAATATACTGTATATGTAAAATGGAAACTGATTCGAACGGTTCTTCGTTAAAAGATATTATGAACGAAATCCCCAATATTGAAAATGTCATATGCCATCGCCACTGATATTGTTACTTAACAGACGATTAGGCAATGTGATTAGCTGTTTGTTTCGAAGGCATAACACATAACATAATATATCAAGAACGCAGGTCAGTATCTGCTGTCTTTAGTATTTTGTAATGGAAGATATGCATGTTGACACCGAGATAAGCTGAGAACCGTAAAGATACGTGAAGATCCAGGTTAGAATTGGCCTTACTCGATCCATGCTTGTCCTAAGATGCCCCCACACAAACATGCCCCCAAACGCACACACATTGAGTATATAATATGCACATAGAATCAAACACAGACACACATCTATCTATCTACCTATCTATCTATCTAGCTAGCTAGCCATCTATCTACACATACTTACGCGCATGAACTCGTATGTCAGTACACACAGATACATACGCGTACAGACACAGAGATACATACACATACAGATATACACACTCACACAGGCACACTCGTACAGACAGATACATACACGCACGCACATAGAGTTAGACAGATGCACAGACAGATACATACACACACATAAGTTAGACATACACAGAAATACATAAACACACACACACGCGCGCGCGCACACACACACACACACACACACACACACACACACACACACACACGGACACACGCCGACATACAGATACATACACGCATACACATTACAGACATGTATACACAGAAATGCATAAACACACACATGTACACATGCGCGGACGCACGCCGACGCACAGATACATACACGTATTGATTATACACAGACACACATAGATATACACACTCACACATGCAGAGACACACACAAACAAGCGAACAAGGGCAGATGCAACACAACAGACACAAACACTTGAATACGATGAGATATACAAACACACTCTCACAGCGACAAAAACACGCAAACAATCAGATCCGATACAACGTATGTTATTGTCAATGCACAATAAAGAACGATCTCTGTCCAGTATCTGAAGTTTTGTCGTGCACACACACGCACACAGGTACACACATACATTCATATATGCAAACACACCGGCACACACACACTCACACACATATATAAGTTAACTTTACCCAAGTAATCGAGACCTATTCGCCCTGCGTCCTAACACCCACACCACACATACAAATAAATCCCCGCACCCACACCACACACACATAAAACACACCTGCACACCCACACCACACATACAAAAACACACCTGCACACCCACACCACACCCACAAATACACCCCCACTCCTTCACCCACACCACACATACAAATACACACCCACCACACACAAATACCCCCATTCCCCGCACACCAACACCACACATCCTAATACCCCCCACAACACATACAAATACTCCCCGCACACCCACGCCACACATACAAATACACATCCACATCCACACAAATATACACCTACACCAGACATATACACCCTACACCAGACATACAAATACATGCCTACACACCCACACCGCACATACAAATACACCCCGCACACCCACACCACACACGCAAATACACCCCCGCACACCCATACCACACGCAAATACACACCCCCGCACACCCACACCACACATAGAAATACACAGCCACCCAGACATACACACACACACCATCCACACCACGCCGCACCCACACCAAAATGCATCACCCTGCACACCCACACCACACACACAAAATACACCCCCGCACACCCACACCACACACACAAATACACCCCCGCACACCCACACCACACACAAATACACCCCCGCACACCCACACCACACATACAAATACACCCCCGCACACCCACACCACACATACAAATACACCCCCCGCACACCCACACCACCAAATACACACCCACACACACACATACAAATACACCCCGCACACCCACACCACAAATACATACACCCACACCACATCCACACATCCACACTACACATACAAATACATCCCCGCACACACCACACATACAAATACACCCCCCGCACACCCACACCACACATACAGACACAAACAACAAAATAATTTACTTAATATCCTAACCAACCGTCATAGCTAGCACAGCACCATTAAGCCATGTATTTCTTACTTTCGGTGTTCACTGTATATAGACACGTGCTACGTTGAGCGTGTATGTGAGTGAATGAACAGAGTCACAGTAATGCACTTAAAGTGTCATCAAACAGAAACATGTTTATCATTGTCTTATCATACTCGGTGATGCAAGTAAGAGCCGGTTCTAACTGCCCAACACAGACGGTTTCCGGACCTACTCAGATAAGCGTTGTTTATATCAACCTACAACTGCTCACCCGCCCTTCAATCTCTACTCGAAGGTTGAGTAGCAGGTAAAAACGTGTCAGGTCAAATCTCAGGTTAACTCTCAAGAAACCGCGAGTTAGCTACCTTGCCTAAAGTGAGTGATGTGAGCCCTGGAGATAATCAGATCACTTTAGATTTTATATTATTATATTTTTTGTTGTATTTGTTGTTGATCGCTCAACTGGCAATACATCGAATGTCTGTAAACTTTTGGACAAACTTTATACTTGTGAGCATCCATACATACATTCACAGTACTAATTATTACATACACTGAAATATGTATGTATGTATGTATGTATGTATGTATGTATGTAATTATGTATGTATGTATGTATATGTATGTATGTATGTATGTATGTATGTATGTATGTATGTATGTATGTATGTATGTATGTATGTATGTATGTATGTATGTATGTATGTATGTATGTATGTATGTATGTATGTATGTATGTATGTATGTATGTATGTATGTATGTATGTATGTATGCATGTGGCTGTGTATGTGTATGAATGCATCTTTAAATAAATGATCGCAAGGTGAAGAAAACGGTAATTTACAATTAACATATATCTCAGAATCCCATGAACAAAAGGTTTGTTAAACTCAAGTGCCTTATATCGAATAATGACACCTCATACAATAACAACATGACGTCCACTAGTGAAATAAAAGAAAAATTCTTGATTCCGATTCAATCACGTCTCTAATGAAGCTATATAGAAAAGGGAACCTCTCTGTACGGCAACAACCGGCGCTGTCACGAAACATGTCTATATTGCATTTGTGTCAATATTTTTTTGGCATCTGGCAGCCAACTCTTTGTACAAAAATGGGCAACTCAATATATGGTAAGGACATGTTTTCAATATCATAAAAAATAGTATTTGACACCAATCTACCGTCCACCAGGATTGAAAAAAGGAAAGGCAGTATTGTCACAAAGAAGGAATATTGGCAATATTGGCAGTGGTTGCTGCACGCACCAGGTGCAATGATAAAATTGACCTTTTTGCCTCGTTGTGTACGAACTTAATGGTGAGATAGCCTGGCAGTACGCATGGCAGCCACGTGTTTACGAATAGTAATGTGCAGTAACATATGTCCATACTTCACCGGGCGATTAATTAAAATATAAATGTTATGCATTATCAGGGTTTAATGTTGCTATTAGTTAATGAAGCAATACTGTAACCGGATCTTGGTCATGATATAATTAGAACTCACAGCTGTGAATTAACAAACGCTACACTGCCTGGAACCCTGCAGTAAGCAAACGTTCATTTTAGGTGAATAAGACAAGTCATACCGTCTTGTATTGAAATGTTTTTTCGAAACATATTTTCGTCCATATTTCATGACTCCGTATCTAAAGCCCCTAGCAAGAGCGATTCATTAAAAATCAAAACAAACTTGAATGCAGCATCAGTTATGCTACAACCGGATCCCGGCCTTGTTAGACTTTGAACTCAGTTATGTTCTGAATTTCATTTTCGGAACATTAGCTCGTGAAATGCATGATGTAGTTTCTCAATGAATGGTCCTGTGCATAGAGATGAGGTCACAAATCAGTTAAAGTTAAGCAACGTTGGGCGCGGAGAGTCCTTGGATGGGTGACCGTGTTTGGCTGCTTGACTCCTGAGAGTGTCCAGGACATCAGCCCTGCCCCACAACGAACCACATATGATACATGTGGTCTCACTTTAGGCAAGTGTGTTTGTTCAAAATTGCCCCTGTTAACCCAGCAGAAAATGGGTACCCGGTGAGATAAGTGATGTGACTATTAAC